AGGCAGGAGACTCCCTTGAGCCCAGGAGTTGGAGGTTGCTGTGAGCTGTGATACCACAGTACTCTACCCAGGGGGACAGCTTGAGGCTCTGTCTCAAAAAAAAAAAAAAAAGAACTCTCCATGCCTTTTCTCAGAGCAGTCCTATTGTTTGGGGCAGTACATTTGAGATTTTTCCTTTATTTTCTGGGCACCTTCCAGGGGCTTCATTAGGTATGGTGGTGAGGGAAAGGAGAACAGAGGTCATCTAGGATTCTATCCTTACCCTCTGGGAGGTTATGTCCGTTCTCAGAAGAGCCCCATCACTTTGGAAGTTTCATGAAAAGGACAGGAAGGGTTGCCCTGATGAGTGTGCTTGGGCGGGGGAGGCGGTGTGTGCCGAGAGCTGAGAGCTGCTCTGAGTCCAAAAGCCCAGGTCACTTATAGGTGCCTAGCCCTAGCTCCCAGCCTTACCCAACTGCTTCTGACTAGGCTACTCAGGGGCAGGCTGTGCAGAGGGAGCAGGGGAAGAGCAGAGCAGTGAGTGTGCAGCCAGCATAGACGTCAGAGCCAGCTCAGGCCAAGGAATGGGGTTGAAGGATGTGTTTGTTCAGTGCTAATTGAGGGCACAGGGACAGTGGTGGCTGCAGAGCTGGAGGGGGGACTTTCAATTACTTAGTGAGATAGATAGGCGAGCTAGAGATCATACGGTCACTCCAAAGCTGCCCTGTAAGTGTGTTTGCTAAAAACCATCACACCACAATATCTGACCAGGGGCTCTAAAAATAGTGATGATTTCTGTTTTGGTTTCTGAGTGTGGGTGTCTTCCTAGGGCCACTTGGAGCTAGGTGTCTATGCAATTAGGGGGAGGGGAAGCAGGTGCAGAGGCCTAGGGAGAAAAGGCTATTAGACCTATACTCATTGCCTGCTCAATCAGAGGTTGTGAATGAGGAAGTATGATTGTGTTAAGAGGTGACTAGGACTACTCCTTGTGAGGGCTTTTACCAGCTCAACCAGTCATCTTCTTGCCTGGGACCATTTGAGCACCTTTATTTTAGAAAAAGGGTTATTCTTGTTCATGAATAGAGACCTTAAGACCAAGGTGAAAGACATTGGCCAAGGTCTTAGATTTGGCTGGGGGGAAGGAAACAGGGTTCCTGACCATTCTACATCTGATTTATTCATAGTTCTGTGTCCTGGGAAGAGCAGTGTCTAGGAAGCAAGCCACACGGTTCTTACTTTGGCATTGCACTTACTAGTTATGTGAGATCTTGGACCTTTGTTTCTGTATCTCCAAAATAAGGGATTTGGACTGAATTATCTGGAAAGCCCTTTGAATTCTGACAGTGTGTGGTTCTCAGCTGTGCAACCTTAGCTTCTCCTTCTCTTTGAGGTTTCTGATTCTGACTTCCCTTTATTGCCCAATGTAGAGTTCCTGAGCACTAGCCTGTTCATCCCAGTTTCTGACAGGATACACATGGGTATCACTGTCCTTGGGGTGAGAAAGGCTCTGAGGCAGCAAGAAGGGACTGACTATTTGCCTCCAGAATGAAGCCCTGGGGCTTCTCTCCTTGTTTTGTTCTAATAATACCTGTGTACCCCTCATAGGGTCCCTGATGGGCCTGGGTGACATTATCTCACAACAGCTGGTGGAGAGGCGGGGTCTGCGGGAACACCAGACTGGCCGGACCCTAACCATGGTATCTCTGGGCTGTGGCTTTGTGGTAAGTTCTGCCCATAGCAGGGCTTCAGTAGATTTGACAGTGATCTTAGTTTTAAGTCATCCTTCAGTTTCCTTCTCAACACCTAAGCCAACCCGCTGCCCTCTTCCATCTTAGTGTCTGCTTCCCTTAGGATTTGTTTTCTGATACTTGGGGGGTGGGGGGTGCTTTGTTATATAAAAGTCAAGTGCTCCCCTCACTGCAGCCTGCCCACTGCCTGGGGTTTACTTTCAGGGCCCTGTGGTAGGAGGCTGGTACAAGGTTTTAGATCGGTTCATCCCTGGCACCACCAAGGTGGATGCACTAAAGAAGATGTTGTTGGATCAGGTGAGCAGAAGGAAGAGGGATTCAGGAAGGGTAAGCTGTGTTGGGGACAAGTGAGGATTTAGGCACTCACAGAGCTTTAAATTCTCTTCCCTAGGGAGGCTTTGCCCCATGTTTTCTCGGCTGCTTCCTCCCCCTGGTAGGGGTACTCAATGGACTGTCACCCCAGGACAATTGGGCCAAACTACAGCGGGTGAGCTGGGCAGGTGGTGCAGCTTAGGGGAAGGAGGCAGGCTTCACAGGGACAAACAAGGGGGCTCTACCTATAGAATCCAGGCTGTGAAGGGAGGGGCTGAGGGGAGTAGCATGGAAGCATGCTCTGGGAACAGAAGTCTGTGTACAGTATTCACACTGGAGTTGCTCAGAAGTGCATGTGTTCATTTTTCCTTCTCTGTCTCCTCAGGATTATCCTGATGCCCTCATCACCAACTATTATGTAAGAACTGACACCTCAACTGCCTGTTCTGCTTCCTTAAGCCCAGAAATGCCCTGGGATTAGGAAACCCTCTGTTGGGATAATCTCTCATTCCCAGTGTGGGCTCCATACTTAGGGAAGCCCTCACCCAGTTGTTCAGCTTTTTCTTGAGTGCAGAAGTTGGGGTAGGGCCACGCAAGGTGGTGAATCTGGGTCAGGTGGTTGGGCAGCCATCCAAACTTTACCGTTTTTCTTGTAGCTCTGGCCCGCTGTGCAGTTAGCCAACTTCTATCTGGTCCCCCTTCATTACAGGTATGACAGATCCCTACTCCACATTAATGGCTGGGATGCTTCTTTACATCCCCAGTCAGAACACTGTGCCCTAATCAGAGTTCCTTGGGCTCTCAAGCCTTTATTCTGAACTTCTTGCCCTTTATAGAAACTATCCCAGAGTGTCAGCCCAGTGACCTTCTTCCGTCTCCCTCAGGAGAATCTTGCTTCCCTGACCCTTATCTCCATCCTGCCTGAGCTCACTTCCTTTGATGGCCTGTCTACAGGGACAGTGCCTAGGGTGCTGCCACCTTGGTTAGGCAGAAAGGTAGGCCAAAAAACCAAGTAGAAGGCTGGCCAGGTTAGTTCACTGCCAAAGTCTTATTTTACCCTCACAATAAAGTTAGCTGCTGACCTGTAGTAAAAAACATAGTGGAACTCAGGATGAATGGTGAAAATGCTTATAAGTGACAGGTCTTGGGGATAGGGAATTATGAAACTCTTCAGAGAGGACATGCCCAAAATTTACACAAGTAGTAGCTAAAAGAAATACAGACTTATGAACCAAATCCTAAACATTAGGATCCTTTGCAACACTCTTAGATATTAGAGCAAGGTTAATTTAAAAGAAAAGGAAGTACTCTTTTGAAGTAAGGCATTATTTTGGAAGATGAAATCTCAGCTGGTATAAGACAGATAAATGTATTTACAAGGGGTCTGCACAGGGGTATGAGTAATAGCTATGGCAAGAGAGCTGCTGAGGGTATTTAACTTATGTGTCTCAGGTGGAGACAGAGCTCTATTGTGGCACCAGATTTTGAGCTGGTTGTTCTCCCATTTGACCCATAGTCTTTCCATAAGTACTGGAGGAAGGCGACCTAAATCTGGGTGTTCTCTGAGATAACCCCTCTCCCATTGCACTTTCCCATCCCTACCTCTGAACTTGCTCCTCACTCCTCTTCACCATGCTATTCCTGTCCCTTAGGTTGGCTGTTGTCCAGTGTGTTGCTGTTATCTGGAACTCCTACCTGTCCTGGAAAGCACATCGACTCTAATGCTGCCTAGCTTCATCTTTTCCATCTAGCAGGGATGCAGCTTGACCCTGGAGTGGTCAGACATCCTCCTAAAAGTGGGCACATCAGTTTCTCTGGGGTTAGGTTACTGGTCAGAACATCATGGAATTAGTACTCTGAAATACCTCATTTCACTCTGAAATGTAAACTCACTGCTTTTTGAAATGGCTAAAGCCTTTATAACAATCTCATTCCCACCACATACTAGGCATTCCATAGATATTTGTTGACCCTTATGATCTTGTCAACTTTACATTCATATCCTAGCAAATGCCACCTGTTCTACTCTTCATAGACACATCTGTTACTATAACCCAAGTCGAGCTCTATGGCAGCTCCAGCTCTTTGGGGACCCTCCTCAAGCGTTTTTTATGGTGCCTTAGTAAATATGTTATTAAATATGTAATCTGGAACCTGAAGAGGAAATGAGTAAGTTTTTAAATAGAAAACTAGTGGAGAGTCAACATTTCTAGAGCTGGAAAGAAGCCCAGAGTCCATCAAGCCCAGTCTTTTCCAAATGAGGACACAGAGGTCCATTGAAGGGAGGTGACCTGTCCATACCTGGAGTTAGTGGTAGAGTGAAAACCCAAGCCCAAGTTTCCTTACTTCCTGCCCAGTAATCCTAACCTGAAAGTCATAGGCATGGTAATGCTGCTGCTGTGATTCTCAAGAGAAAAGCTGAACTTTGCTGAACTATCACTTTGGGCAAACTCAGGAGCAGAAGGACCAGCCTTTTATGATCTTTAAAGCACCTGTACGCCAAAGACTCTTATATGGTGCCTCAGTCAGCTCTAGAATAGACCGAAGAGCTGGAAAAGGATCAAGAATCCTAGGAAACTTCGGCTGTGTCAGACCATAGACACCTGGACTAAGTCTGACACCTCTTAGTCCATCTCACAGTGTTGACTGAGTGCTAGTTTTGCAAGCCTGAGGGCCTCAGTTTGCAGAACTAATATATAGTTGGGGCCAGGGAATGGATCTGAGCAGCGTTGGGTTCTCCCAACGCCAGAGGTCCCTCCTAGAAGCAGAGAACAGGGTCAGCACCATGGACAGCCCCATGATCCCGCTTCCCTTACGTGTGCCATAGAATAAACGACCCAGGATTGGTGCGATCTGGGGAAGAGGCTCTCACTAATAGTTGTTCTAAGCGGGGCAGAGGACGATGTGTCTCCCAGAGTAATCTTTATGCCCTAGCTGGCATCTTGCTCTCTTGCTGCTCTCAGCACTAGCCCCAGGGACGAGAAGTCTAGTGTCCGGAGGTGTGCTCCTCCGAGGCTTCTACAATCATTGCATGTACTTCGCTGACGTCAGTCGGAGCTGTCCTGGCACTATATAAGGCTGGCGGCAGTCCCGGGGCCGACCCCGTGTTCCCCACTCAGCCCTTTCTGAGGGACAGAGACTGGAGCTCCGTCTTGCACTGTACAGGCGCTCTCCGACAACCTGTGAGTGGTTCAGAGTGTCCGCTCAGATTCCCTCTGCTAGGGCTCCGAGTAGCTCACACTGCGACCTGCCGGGAGGGAGGGTGGGTGAAAGGGTTGGAACAGGACCGGAGCGTGGCTGGGGCTGGAGGACCGGCTGCAGTCATCGGGCGGCTGCCGGAGGAGCCCGGGGGGGCGCAGGGCGTGCGCGGGAAGGGAGTGCGCCCCCTATGGCTGCCCCAGGCGCTCCTCACCCCGCGCTGCCCCTGTGTCCAGGGCCGGCGGCACCATGGGGCAGGCGGGACGCGCGGCACTGCTGGCGGCGCTGCTGCTTCTGGCACAGCTGCGCCCCGGGAGCAGCCAGCGAAGCCCAGAGGTGTTAGCGGCGGCCGGGGTCCAGGACCCGAGTCTGCGATGGAGCCCCGTGTTGCGGACCCAGGGCGGCGGGGCACGAGCGCTCCTCTTGCTGCTAGCCGAGCGCTTCCCACGCCGTGGCGGGCCCAGCTGGTGGAGATATGCGACTGCAGGTGAGCGGCCACGACGGGATAACCCTCCGCTGTCCATCGACCTCACCTTCCACTTACTGCGGACCCTCCTGGAGCTGTCGCGGACGCAGAGCCAGAAGGAGCGCGCCGAACAGAACCGCATCATATTCGACTCGGTGGGCAAGTGATCAACCCGGTTTGGGGTCATGAAAACTTTGACCCCTTCCCCAACCCTAGGGCTGGGACATGACCTACCGGAACTGACCCAGTACCGGGCACAGCGGCCCAGGGACACCCTCAGCACACTACCTGGCTTTTTTTTTTTTTTTTTTTAAATAAAAGTGCTGAAGAGCCTTTGGCTTCTGTTGTGGGGGCGCGACAGGGTGGGAACCTTTGGGAAAGTCGGGGCCTGCCAGGCCAGTGGGAGGGACCAAGATGTTCAGGGCGGCGGGGTAGTGGCGGGGAGTCGAGGAGGACGGCGTTTCAGCCTGTTCCAGCGGGCCCCATCGCTCCCAAATCCTCAGGAACTCAGATGTCCCGGCACCGCCGCACCACCCTCGACCCTGGGCGCTAGGCTCATGAGTCAGCCCCTGGCAACAAGAAGGCGCCCAATACCAGTTAACTTCACTTCCGCTGCCCCCTCAATGGTCTCAGGTTCGAGGAAATGCGGGACGGTTGCAGGGTCGCCTCCCAAGCCGAGGCTGAGTGGGCAGCTAAGGAAATACGGGTTTGGAACGCGCCGGTCCTTTATTGAGCCCTCCCTGAGGGGAGGAGGAGCGCCGAGCTGGGTGGCGCGGTGGTCTCAGCGCAGAACCCCCACCACCCTGGAGGCAGGCCCCAGCCGCTCAGGCTCTTGAACGGTGGTCGGGTCAGTGCAGGCCTGTGTCCGGGAAAGAAAGCTCAGTGGTCCGGTGCTGCAAAGTTAACAAGGCAGCCCCAGCCCCGCCCTCCCCGTTGCCAGGTGGGCGTCTCCTCTACTTGCCGACCCAACTTGGTCTCCCAAAGTCCTAGAGAAAAGGCTGGTGGGGATGTGCACGTATACTTTTGCGCCCTAAGGGGAGCCCCTTTGTGGTTGTGGGGCTTGAGGGCACTTAAAAGGAGCAGGGCTCCACAAAATCCCTGGTGCCACAGAGGAGGCAATGGCCAGAGGAGGGGACGAAGAATGCCAGCCAGGCCCTGCCCCAAGCCCCTCAGGCCACTCTCACCTTCCGGCCCCTCCAGCCGCTCTTCCTCCGGCCCTGCGCTGCCCTCGTCCCGGTCCAAAGACGCCTCCTCATCCTCTTCCTCCCCGGAAGCGCCTGGGCCGAAGGAAAGCCGCGTTTTGGTGGAATTCTTGCCTTTCCGGCAGCCACACCGCCTCACCTCAACACCCAAGCTCTGAACGCCCAGTCCCAGCGCCCGTCCCCCTCCTTCCCTCCCTCCCGCTCCCCCTCACCCGGCTGGAAGTCGATGGTCCTCAGCATCTCGGCCACGTGCTCCACGCTCACGGTGAACTGGTCCATGCTCTCATAGCCTGGCTCCGGCCGTCCTGCCAGCTCCACCTTCGACATTGCCCCGACCCTGCGGTGGCCACAGCGAGTCTGCTGGCAACGCCCCGACCCCCAATCCCTCCCCGAGCTGCGGGGCTGCTCAGCCCCTTCCTTTCCCGTCCCGCACTGCCTACTCACTTATTGATCAGCTCCTTGGCCTGCTGCAGGGAAGAAAAGGAGGGTAAGAGTAAGCACCGGGCCAACCCCTGGCAAGGTCCCATTTCTGATTCTCACAGCGGCCCTGCGGGGTAGGTGGGGATGCACATCCCAATCGTTAAGGAGAAAACGAACAGAGGGGGTGACATGCCGGAGGTAGTGGGGGCAAGTAGGTGCAAGAGGCAAGATGTGAACGTGAGTTTCCAGGAGCCAAGGCCCCAGCTCCAAGCACTCTGCGGGGCCGCTGCCCTCCCCCAGGGCCCACCTGGAGGTACAGAGCCATCTGCGGCTCCTCCATGGACTGTATGGCGCTCTCCACCAACTTAGAGGAGGCCTCCAGGTGGTCCCCGTACTGCCGGATGAGGCCGCGCACGCGCTGCAGCTTCTCCTCCTGCTCCCGGGCCAGCGCTTGCAGCAGCTCGCCCTTGCGCTCCTCCAGCACAGCGCACAGGGACTCGAACCTCTGGTTTAGCAACTGCTTCTGCCTCCGGCTGTTGTCCTGAAATACCCAGAGCAAGGATGAGAGAGGGCACAGCTGAGACCACCAGACCCGCATCTGGCTCTTGACCAGGAGGAAAGTGACCTATCCATGGTTACACTGTGAGTTAGTGACAGAGCCAGAGTCCAGCCTAGATCTTTTCCATAATAAGAACAATATGGTATTTTTTTTCTGAGACAGCCTCAAGCTGTCCCCCTGGGTAGAGTGCTGTGGCATCACAGCTCACAGCAACTTCCAACTCCTGGGCTCAAGCAGTCTTCCGCCTCTGCCTCCCAAGTAGCTGAGACCACAGGCACCCGCCACAACGCCTGGCTATTTTTTTTGGTTGCAGTCGTCATTGTTGTTTGGTGGCCCAGGCTGGATTTGAACCACCTTAGGTGTATGTGGCTGGTGCCTCAGCCACCTGAGCCACAGGTGCCCAAGCCAACAATATAGTATTTTAAGGTAACATCATTGAGTGCTGTCTGTATCTCTGGTCCTGGTTTTTACTTGCATTATTCCATTTAATTTTCAAAAAGACCTTGGGTAGCCACTATATTATTACCACCACTATTTTATGTAGTTAAAAACAAACAAAGCCAAAGCACAGAGAAGTTAAATAACTGGGCCAAAGTCACAGAGCTAGGGAGTAGCAGAGCTGGGATGCAAACCCACCAACTTGGCTAAGCACATCCCACCACTCCCCAGAGCCCAGAAACTTTCTGACCAGTTTGGCCAGAGGGCAGAGAGGAGTTGTCTCTAGGAAGCCTGGGTCCCCAAGCCAGGTAGTCTTTTGTTCCTCCCTCTCTCCTAGCCCAAGCTCACCTCAATTGTCTGGCACACCTCCTCCATCTGTGTGATCACTGCTTGCACACGGTCATTGCCTGCCACTAGCATCGCGATGCCATCGCTGAGTTCACTCTGCCACACACACAGGTCAGCGCTTAGAGCTGGAGAACCTGGCCTAGAGCTGCACCCCTCACCCCAGCCACTGGATGAGCTAGGAGAGGACACCCCCCTTTATCCCACTTGCCACCAGAGCATCTTCAGAGATCTGGAAAGCTTAGAACAATCCCAAAGGTATAGAAACGTGTTCTGTGGCTTCTAGAAGGAGATGGAGAGAAGAAATCCTCCACTACCAAATGGAGAAGGAATAGACAGTCTCCAAACATCCCCTAAATGCTAGGCACTGGGCCAAATGTTTTACCTGTGGATTCATGTCTTCTATCAATTCTGAAAAACTCTTAGTGATTATCCATTCTCATAATATTGCCTTTTCTCCGTCCTCCTTATCCTCTCATTCTGGGAATCTATTTAGACTTACGTTAGACCTTCTCATCTCCCAGTCATGCATTCTGTGTGGGTTTGTTTTTTTCAGTTCTCTTGTTCTATTCACTAATTCTCTCTTCAGAGAAACACATCATTTCACACATCTATTAAATGATTCTTAATTTTTTTTCTTTTTCATTTTTGGATTTTATTTTTTTATTTTATTATTTTTTTTTTTTGAGACGGAGCCTCAAGCTATCCCCCTGGGTAGAGTGCCATGGCATCACGCTCACAGCAACCTCCAACTCCTGGGCTCAAGCGAGTCTCCTGCCTCTGCCTCCCAAGTAGCTGGGACCACAGGCGCCCGCCACAACACCCGGCTATTTTTTGGTTGCAGCCGTCATTGTTGTTTGGCGGGTTCAGGCTGGGGATTCGAACCTGCCACCTTAGGTGTATGTGGCTGGCGCCTTAGCCGCTTGAGCCACAGGCGTCGAGCCCATTTTTGGATTTTAGAGACAGCATACCATTGAATATTTTGTTTTAATATTTATAGTTTCATTTCTAAAAGCTCCATTTGGTTCTTTGTTAAATCTGCATTTTTTTTTTTTTTGCAGTTTTTGGCCCAGGCCAGGTCTGAAACCACCACCTCTGGTAAGGGCCAGCGCCCTACTCCTTTGAGCCACAGGCACTACCCCAAGCGTGGTTGTTTTTGATATTCTGTAATTCCTTAGTTTTTTATTCCATCTTTTTTTTTTTTTAAGAGACAGGGTTTTACTCTGTTACTAGGCTGAGGTGGCATGATCATAGCTCACCTTAACCTCAGACTCCAGAGAGCTCAAGCAACCCTCCTGCCTCAGCCTCTAAGCAACAGAGACTATAGGCCTGCACCACCATACCTGGACAATTTTAAATTTTTTGTAGAAATGGGTCATCCTTTGTTGTCCAGGCTGGTCTCAAACTCCTTGTCTCAAGTGATCTAAGTGATTCTCCTACTACAGCCTCCCAAAGTGCTAGACTTACAACCATGAACCACTATGCCTGGCCTCCATCTTTTTTTTTTTAAAGCATTCAACTTATAATGATTTTCTATTTTTAATTCCAATATCTGAATTCCTTGTAATTTTTGCTTCTGCTGACTTCACCCAAGGAGTGCCTTTAATTATGTATCTTTCTTTTCTTCCTTCCTTCCTTCTTTCCTTTCCTTTCCTTTTCCCTTTCCCCTTTCAATTTCCTTTCCCCTTCTTTCCTTCCCTTCCCTTTCCTGACAGATTCTCACTTTGTTGCCCAGGTTAGAGTGACATGGCATCAGCCTAGCTCACAGCAACCTCAAACTCCTGAGTTCAAGTGATCCTCCTGCCTCGGCCTCCAAAGTAGCTGGGACTGTAGGCACCTGTCACAACCTTGGGCTGATTTTTCTATTTTTAGTAGCCATGAGGTCTCATTCTTCCTCAGGCTGGTTTCAAACAACTGAGCTCAAGCAATCCACCTGAGTCTCCCAGAGTGCTGGGTTTACATGCATGAGCCACTATGCCTGGCCATCTTTGTGAATCTTCGATTGTGAGAATCTTAATATTTTGTTGATTTGTATCTCAGAAAAACCTGAAGGCGTAATTGAAAATATTTTCCTCAGGCAGAATGTGCACTTGCTTCTGTCAAAGCCAGGTGGTGCAATTTACTGCTTTCTTGGGATTCCACTTTAATCTGGGGTCTTCGGTGTCTTTGATGTAGGTTCCTCACTTTTTAGGGGTTTAGGAGCATGGAGGCATGCTATGGTCTTTCTACCTCAGCGATATTGGCAGCACTGGTCCTCTGGGAAATGTGCTTTTTTTTTTGAGACAGAGCCTCAAGCTGTCCCCCTGGGTAGAGTGCTATGGCTACACTGCTCACAGCAACCTCCAACTCCTGGGCTCAAGCAAGTCTCCTGCCTCTGCCTCCCAAGTAGCTGGGACCACAGGCGCCCGCCACAACCCGGCTATTTTTTGGTTGCAGCCATTATTGTTGTTTGGTGGGTCCGGGCTGGATTCGAACCCGCCACCTTAGGTGTATGTGGCTGGCGCCTTAGCC